CTGAGATACCAGTGGGAGCGGTGGGGGGTGGGGACCCTGGAAAGCACAGCGTGGGGGCTGATCTTCCGAGACTGAGGCTAACTGCCTCGGGAACACCATTACGATCAGGAGTGTAACACTACTGCACTTGGACACGCACACCATGACAAGAGACTGCTCTGGCACTGCATTTCAGTCACGCCTTCTCCTCTGAACCTCTTACCTCCTCCTGGGAGATGACTGTTCCCTCCGTGGCCATGCAAGCTTTCTGAGAAGGGCCAGCTGTGAGCATGTCAGAGTTTGTGGGCTCGTGTCTGTCCCCACTACTCACTTCTATCTGTGTGCAAAAGCAGCCACAGACAGTATACAAACAAAAGGCGTGGCCATGTGCCACCAGCAGATCACTATCAGGAATACTGAAATCTGGATTCCAGGTGATTTTCACATGTGGTAAAGTATTATTCTTGTTATTATTTTCCCCAACCATTTAATGTGCAAAACGACTCTCAGCTAACAGGCAGTGGGCTGGAGCTGGCAGCAGGCTGGGGTCTGCTGAGCTCTGGCTTGGAGGGCGGCACTGCATCCACACAGGGAATGGCTCTCCCAGGTTCCCACGGTCTCTACCGGACGGCTGCAGCCAAACCACTGATTCCTGGTTTCCTGCATTCACGCTGCTAGACGCCTTTTCAAAGCAACAAGAAGTTAACAATGGAGCTCTACAAAAGGTCTCTGTAATCACATCTTCAACCAAAGTTTCCAGGTACTAAAGAAAGAAAGTGGAAGTTGACAGGTTTATATAAGTTTTATAGCTTCCAGATTCTCTCTGGCTTCCATTTTATGGCCTATCAAATTAGTATTTGATACATACATTCACCTTTAGAAATAAAATTTACACTGCCATCTAGCGTTAAGCAACTATTTTAACAGAAGTTAAAAAGGTTTTCTTTGGGCCAGGGATTTATTAGCTCAGTGGTTTCACAGCCTGCTGTGCAAGCGCAAAGACCCAAGTTTGATCCCCAGTACCAAAAAAAAAACAACCAAAAAACCAAAAGTTTTCTTTGCACTATGCATTGGGATAATTATTTTAGTGTATTCCAAAATAGTAGAAATGAAATGCATTCAAAAGCATAACACTGCCTATGTTAAGTATAAGTGGACATAGCATCAGGAATTGTTTAAAACTCACTGGGGGTATAATAAGTATTTTTTCTGTTGAAGAATTTATATAAAGTATTTCCAATTTTGTATATAGTGACAATGTTAAAAAAGGCAACCTCCCCAAGAGGATTTCTTTTATATTCTCAAACTCTGTGAGAGGAAGACTCCTGAAGAGTAAATATCTCATTTTGTTAAGATGAAATCCCAAGAAGATGCTCCTAATGTGCCATCTCCTCTGTCAAACTCTGCTTTTCCACTCGTTCGCATAGTGCACTTGATGATGATTCCCACAGTAAAAGCCAGTGTAGCCCAGGGAAGGGGTGGGGACAGCCCCTGCTCGGTGGGCTCCTGTGTGTGCTGAAACCAGAAGATATCCCTCCCAGAAGCTGATTTGGTCAAAATGCTTTCTTTCTTTTTAGAATTCTACCTAGTCTTTCAAAAAGGCATTTTAGGTGATTTGCATCATTCCTTCACCTGTACAATGAGCATCTTTGAGTGAGAGACTGTCTTTTTCATCTCCGCCTGTCTGACATGGTACTGAAGAGAGTAAGAACTCAGGATGAACCGATCAGGAGCTGAGGAGGTGGGGGCGTAGACACACAGATGACTGTAGATATTTCTTTTTAATGCAAAGTAGGAACAAATGACAAAAGTGCTAAAAGCAGAACCCTGGGTAGATAAAGGACAAAGTGGCAAACAATGGAGTAGTCAAAGTCAAAACTTGCAGTCGGTCCTCGTCCTCTGTATTCATGAACATGTTCACTTTGGTAGATTCAACTACTGACAACATTCAGATGAAAATAAATGGATCTGCAGTTGACAGGCAAAGCCTTTTTCCTGCTTAGTCCCAACACAATACAGTATGACAACTATCTACACAGCGTTTACCCTGTGCTAGGTATTGTAAGGAATCTAGAGGGGACTTCTGGGATATGCAAAACTACGCCTTTTTACATGGGGGCTTGAGCATCCACGGACTAGTGTCCTGGCCGGGGTTGGTCCTGGACCCCAATCCTTTGCTGGTACTACTCTAACAGAAGTCAGGCACTGAGGAATCTGAAGAAACTGAGAAATTTTAAGAGCTGAGAAAAGGCCAAGAAATATTCAACAACATTATCGTTAGAGAAAGACAAATTTAAAATGCAGCGAGCTATCACTTCAGACTTCATTTACAATGATTACAATGAAAGATCCAACTAAAACGGTTATCCAACTAAACGCCTACAAGGACGTGGTGCACACGCAACTCCTGTGCATTGCTACTGGCAGAGTCACACTACTTGGGGAAACTGTTTAGTAGTTACTTTAAAGCCAAGTGCAAACCTACCATGTGTGTGACCCAGAAATCTCACTCCCAGGCACTCACTCAATGAATATAGGTGCTCGAGACAAGGTGTGTCCAAGACGCATCTTCACAGCCACTTTATTCACAGTAGCCCTCAACTAGGAACACCCCAACCGTCCCGGCTGGAGAAGTAAACTGCGGCAGTCTCACACTGAATGACACAGCAAGAAAGAGCAACACTGGTATCTGCGGCCATGTGCTGTGTGAGAGAAGGCAGACACACAACACAGTGTACTAAGTGATTCCATTTATACTCAGTTTGAGGAAAAGCCACTGCATTTGGTGATTAGAAAGTCAGAGAGGAAAGCTTCAGCAAGGTGGTGGAAACTGAGAAGCACCTTTAGGGTCAGAGAGGAACCCATGGTGGGCAGCCGCACAGGGTCAGCAAACCATAGCCCGCAGGCGTGGTCACACCATCTGAGAGCTAAGAACAGCCTTGACATTTTTCAAAGACTGTAAGAGAAAACAATAAATAAAACAAAAACCAAAGAAGAATATGTGACAGAAAGCCAACGAGGAGCACAGAGCCTAGAGCGCTTACTCTCTGGCCCTTTGGAGAAGGCCATCTGATCTGATCCCCGACGCAGACTTCCTCCCTGTGTTGGGCACCGGATGAAACAGCAGGTGACGATGTGCATGACTCAAGGGGGAGGCAAGGGCAAGTGTATGCGCTGAAGGGAGAAGGAAAAGAGCCTGCTCATCAGGAACAGGTGGGAATCACGAATGCAGGACAGGGACCCTTAAGAACAGAGGGAACCGATCCCCTACAGACAGAGGGGAGGGGGATCGGTGCTGAGGCAGGGATGAAAGTGACCCTGTACAGGGCTCCCCATTTCCAGAGGAGGCCAGATGGGACACCTCTATCTGACCACTCCGTGAGGCTACAAGCCCTCCCCAGCACTCCAAGCCCAGGGACCGCTCTACTCTGTGTTCCACAGGACCGGTCACCAACTTGCTATAAACTTGGTGCTTGGTTTTGCCCAGCCCTAAAATGCAAGCTCCACAAATGCAGCAGGATTCGTCTCTTTCCTTCTTGTTTTTTTGGCAGTACTGGGATTGAACTCAGGACCTTGCGCTTGTGACATCTCTTTCATTCTTGATGTGCCCTAAGAATCTAGGACAGTCCCAGCCACTGAGCAGGCATTTAACAAACATTTGATGAATGAGTGAGTGAATCTGCAGAGAGCAAAGGGTGAGGCTGGAGGTCTCAATATCGGTGCCACCGATCTTTGTGGCAGATGCTGCCTCACTGTGGAGAGCTGTCCTGTGCACTGAAAGACCACGGCACATCAGCCTCTGCCCACTAGGTCTCAGGAGCACTTCTCTAAGAAGTCTCCAGATATTGGCAGGTCTTTCCCAAAACCACCTGGGCTGAGAACCATTGGGCTAATGGTGCACTTCAAGGCTGTGGAGTTGCTCATTCATTTGGCAAATATTTATTAACTGCAAGAGCCGACAAAGTCTCCAACCTCATGACACTTACAAACTGTTGACAAAGACAGATGATAAACTATAACCTATTACTATCACTGAATAATTATAAATCGGGATTTGTGTTATGAAAAAATAGGATACAGAAACAGAGCTTAACACAGAAGAGTTCTGCTTCAAGAAGGGTGGTAGGAAAAGGCCTCCCAGAAGACAGTGCTGGAATCTGAAGAGGAGGCACAGCAGGGTGGGGAGAACAGTGTGTGCCTGGAAGGCGGGCAGGGCAGGAGCACCCTGGCAGGACGCAAGGCACACCAGGAGGCAGGCAGGGCTCGAAGTGGGGCCAGACCACCAGAGGCAAAGCCATGGTGTGGGGCTAGCGCCGACGCTGACTCGGCCGGGTATTCAGTGGTGGGTCTGCTCAGGTGGTGACACAATCCAACGGGTGTTTGCAGTGGTGGAAACTGGACCCAGGCACCAGGAAAAGGACTGATCAAAGCCCTGAGAAACGAAGGCCACGCCAAAGTGGCCACGCTCCTGTCTGTAGCAAAGGTCAAAAGCCAGTGAGAGGACAGAAGAAGATGGTCAGCAGGACTGAGGCTGGGCACTAGCAGGGAAGGCCAGGCAAGGGACAGAAGGTGAGGGAAAGAAGCATGCTCTTGAGGACACCACTAGACCACCATGATCCCAGGCCAGGACGGCGAGGCAGGTAAAAGCAGCCCAACGGAGCTCGCAAAGCTTGCTCCTCACAGGCTCAGGAGACACAAACTCATGTGTCCCCAACTTCACGCACTGCTCTGTAAGTGGGCAGGGAGTGTTATCTGCCGGGAGACAATGGCACCTGCGGAGACGCAAACAGACCGGAAGAGGCTGCTGTTGCGGTATCAGGCCTGGGCTGTGGGCGCAGCAGAGCCCTGGCTCTGGACCTCTCTTACACTGCAGATCTTCTTCTGCTGCCAAACTGATCCTCCCCAGTACAGCTCTCAGCTGTTAAGCAAAATATGAGGACAGAAAGCTCTAAAGCAACAGCAATATTAGTATGGAAAAGAACACAGTCACCAAAGTCATGGCAAAAAAATGATGCACTTACCTATAAGCATTAATATAATCTTTCCTGTGCTCCAGAAGAAAATCTTTCAGTTTGCCAATGTGAGAAATCTAAAATTAAAAAAGCAAACAGCAGATTACAATCATGTAATAAATTCCACATCAGTGGAGATGTAACGAAGGCTGCGGGAAGGCTGTAAAGCTACGCAGCGAGCGATTCTGCTTTCAGACTCTCGTGTAGTCACCGGCTCCTGACTTGGTCTCTATCAGCGGCCCCTCTTCCCTCTCATGGTCGTGATCTGTGACATTAGGACAGATGAGCTCTAAGGACTGTGGAGCCGAAATGAGATAACACATCTGCTAATCGAGCAGCACAAGGTCCACAAAGGTCAACTCCCTTCCTGGTGTGTCTGTATCTATGATTTTACAAGTATTCCTTCTCCCAGGCAAGCATTTGAGGGGCTGGATGCTCAGGCTGGAGCTACAGTGTCTAAATAGGGCCCCAAAGAGGAGCCAGGTTGGAGAAAGGCCCGGGAAGATGATTTATCTCTGCTCAGCAAGTCTCCGTCTCCCCTTTGTCTGCTTCCATGGATGAGTCAAGGGAACGCCAAGGCACGGGCTGACTCCCAGTCTCAGGAACCCACCCTGCAGTGTCTTCCATGTGCCTGGTACTGAGTGTGGAGCTGGGGAATCACAGTTAAACAAATAAAATCAAAAGGAGTAGGAAGGAACCCGGCTTGCAGTTGCCAGGCATATAAGCGTTTCTAGAAGGGGAGAAGGGTGAACTGGACTCAGCCTGCGTCTTCCTCCGACCCCGCTCGCTCTCCTCCCGAGCTCCCAGTTTGCACTCCTGCCAAACACATGGGGCCGGCCTCCCAGGGCTGCTGAACTTTCATCTCTTCAGAAAGCTTTCTCGTCAAGGCCAACTCAGCCTAATTTTCACTCTGCTCTGAACTTAAAAGGACTCTGCCCACCACACACTTGGCACTCAATTACACCTGGCTGTGGACGCTGACTTCACTTTTACACAGCTTCATTGTCGGCCACATGAGGGGCATCACAGAGAGGGGCTGCACAGCATCCCCTGCAGTTCTAGGCCCAGGAAGCACAAAGAGTGATCAATAGACATTTGTGGAATGAAAATAGGTCTAAACACAAAATAGCATTTCTCACAAAAGAAAACATTCCACCAGTCTAGACTATTATTATAAAGGCAGCTCAGAAAGGTGCCCTAAGACCCTTCCGGGCAGGGATCGAAGAAAACAATGTAAGTGAGGCTGCCGCAAGATCCCTGTGCTGGACAGCTGAGCAACGCCGGAGTCTCTCCAGCACCCGCAGTGACCCGCACTTTCGCACCCCTGCCTCCCACTTCCCAAGAACCCCGAGCTAAGCAGCTCGGGAAAGCGGACCTCACAGACAGACTGACTTGTAGGACCGTGGGGTCACACGTTCCCTGTGTGGGAGGCAGGGCTCAGTGCCGAGCTCAGGTTTAAGCCCAAATTTGGCACATTTTCCACGGTACCACTGTCTTCCTCACATTCCTCTCCTCTTCCACTTAAGCTGCATCGCGAAATCTCACTTTTAAGTCTGTTAAAAAATTTTAGGAGATGTGCAAGGAAGGCTTCATCATATCACATGCAAGATCTGATCAAGAGATTCCCGCTTCAAACCTTCAGTGGTCTCCATCCCTTATCCTATCCCCTACCCACGAGGGGTCAAAAACTCCTTATCCCTCACTCCTGTTCAGGGGCCAGGTGAACAACCAAAAGGAGTAAAGCAAAGGAACTGGTGGGTGGATACAGGGGGCAGTGGTGAACTCTGGTTTCTCTTTGGGATTTAGGACTCTTCCCCGTTGACTGAGCCCCCCAAATCACACGTTGGTGGCCCTCTGGCAAATCAGCCAGCAGAGCTGCTTTTTTCCACCACAGCCAGTCCCCAGCGATGACCATGGGCAGAATTCCTCTCATGAGCCTGCAAGTCCTAGGGGCTGGAGGGTGCTCTCTCTCTCCCCAGCACTCGCTGGGCACAGCTCCTGTCTAAGCAGAGCCTTCAAAGTTTTTGTAACTGTTGGATACACAGTGGCAACTGAAGAATCACAGAAGGATGATACCTACTGTGGAAGGCAGAATAATGCTTTTCCAGGCCCCTTCCTTTAAAGATGTCCTTGAATCTGTGACTATATTGCATGAAAAAGGGGGATTCATGTAGTGGATGAATTAATGCTGCTAGTGAGCTGACTTGCTTCAAGTAGGAAGATTATCCTTGGTTAGCCACAGAGGCCCAAGCAACATGAGGGCTCTTAACCATGAAGGGGGAGGCAGAGTAATGTTGTGCAAGAAGACGAAACCCACTGCTGTTTGCTCTGAAGATGGAGGAAGGAGCCCAGGAATGGAGAAGAGTCCTCCCACAGCCTGATGATACCCGGGAGTCTCATGTTGGACATCTGACTCATAGAGCTGTAAGATAGTAAGTCTGTGTGGTTTTACGTCACAAGTTTATGGTAATTTGTTAAAGTGGCAATAAGAAATGAACACGTCTATTTAGGGTCTTAATCTTCATAAGTTTTTTTCAGAAGTCATAATGCTTTCCATGAAAAGCTAAAAAGGTCCAAAGGAATCTACTATACTCCTTTGCCCCGTTCCTCATTTTTAGTTCATTCTAGCCTGCAAGAGTAGACCCGTGCAAGAGGATGAGCCCCAGGAGCATCTCATGAAAACATAATTACAGAGGTTTCAGTTAAATCCCAGCAGATGTGGTCCTAGCTTCACACGTTCTGTGAGGGCCAATTCTACAACATGAGTTCATTAAAACAGAGTGAAGCCTGTTCCAGGTTAAGTCTTCATAAGAGGTGTTAAGTAATTACTGACTTAGGAACAACATCAGTATGATAACTGAATACTTAACATGAACACAATGTATAAAATAACATCCTAATGCAAAGAATGAAAAGAAAGGAAGCATCAAGATTATTTTAGATATTTGAGAGTTCCGAAATTTCTATTATATTCCTTAAAAATACACCTCAAAATCATAGCAAGTCAATTATAAAAAACTTCAACAGGTCTTTGATTTGTCTAAATTGGCACAGTGAAGTTCACAAACAGCATTACAACAGGGTTATCTCTGTACAAAAAGGATTTGACAATTTAATCACATGACTGCCAGCACCTTTAGAGAGATTCCTGGCCAAGCGGTCTGTTTATTGTTAGGCTTAGCCCTATTTTTGAGAATAAACTGCCAAAGACTGCTTATTTCACACAATTCTGATATGCTCCTTACGTTTTCCAGTGTTTTGAGTTTGAATAGTTGTATGCTCTGGATTTTTAATGTTTTACACAGGTGCTACTTCTGAGTCACTTGTACGATAAAGACATATGCATATAACTAAAGTGAATCCTTCTTTCAATAGGAGAGAAACCACTCTGGTGTAAAATTTGATGAGGAAATCAGTAAAATTAAGGTACATTTGCTGTTTAATACTCAAGTCAATTTCCTAGTCACGGCAAACGGCACAGGGAGTGAGGGAAGGGAGAGGGTTCTGAGGGGAAGAGATCGCTGGTGAGGTCTGCGTGGGACCAGGTCAGGGACAAGACGGAACAGCGGAGACGAGGGAGTAGTCTGGGGTGGAAGCCGCTTCGTGCAGCCCCACAGCAGGGTAGACAGCTGAGGGACACCCTGGGCGCCTCTGTAACCCCTCTTCCTCCACTTGGCAAGCGGCCTCTTCCACCTAGAGACCCCTGATCATCCTTCCAGGTTCTCCTATGTGTCACCTCCTCCATGAAGCCTTCAGAACACCTCCTTGATCTGTGACAGACACCCGTTTGCACTTTCTGGGTTACATCAGAAGTATTTATCTGCGGCACCCACCAGACTTCACTTAAGTCCCTGAGGTCAAGACCTCTGTCCTAGTCATTATTTTGTAACTCCAGCAGTGCCCAATTGTTGGAAGGGGAAACGAAGGTAAATCCAACAAAAAAGGCTTCACGGCTGATAAACCCTAATGTGCTGGCTGGATCAAAAAGGCAGAGAGGTACTGCACAGGCTGTGCTTAGACAACGGTGTGGATAAACAGATGAAGAGGGACAAGCCAGCGATTTGTGCACAGTAGTTCCCCCAGGGAAGTCGGCCAGGCGTGTCTGGAAGGTGCGGTGATGCCACCAAGTCTGTCCAAGTGTAGCCTGACTGCCCCGTGGGATGATCATGTCCCCAAAGTGGACCACCTTCCACCCCACCAAGGCTCTGCCATGCGACATTATATCTCCACTGGGAGGATGGGTATGGACAGAGAACAGAGAATCCCGTGCTTTTAAAACTTCAACTATAGCTAAAAGAGAAACAGAACAGAACGCAATATTCTTATATATCACCCTGTGCCACTCACTGTGAGTGGGCTGCTCTGCTTAATTCTGACAACAGGTATTTTTCTTAGTGGAAAGAAAGTGGCAGAACTGGCACGAGAGCCCTCAGTGCCCGTGCTGTGTGTGTGCTGGTGCTCTCTACTGGATCTGACGTTGGTCATTTTAGTGACTGCTATGCATCACTGTTACTACACTGGTTAAAGAATCTCCACTCAGTTCTGAATGATACTAAGAAATTACAAGGAATTTTTACTTAGGTGTGATGATGGTATTATGGATCATGATTATGTTTTATTTATCTCTCTGGTTTTAAATTCCTTCTCTTTTAGAGATAAGAACTGAACAATTCACAGTGAAATGATTTAATAGCCAGGATTCACTTCAAAGTAAGATGGGGGAGGTAAGAAAAGACACAGATAAGTCATGAGGTGATAACTGCTCAAGATGGGTGCATGTGTACACACAGGTTCCTTGTAGGTAATACTCTGTGTCTATTTTCATATCTGTATCTTCTTTTAACATTTTTAATCATGTGGAGATATAGATTTTTCTGCTACCAAACTAGAATAGCCCATACTTAAACTAACAACTAAACCCCAATAATCTCTAGTTATTTTATTTCTACGTATTTGAAGGCTTTGCTTACATTTTACTTAACAGGATCAATATCACTTTTAAAAACATCAACAACAAAACTCGGAGGCAGGCAGAATTCCCAGAGCTCTGCAAGCATTAGATAACCTGCTTCCCAAA